GAACAATGGAGCTCTATGGCACAGAGGAAGAAAATATATCAGATAATACTTGTTTTAAGGATCAATTTATTGTCACTTTGGGTCTTTTCATGGAACTTTTGCACTTGACAACTGCTAAGGACTGTTTGGCTTTAATACAGTTTTACTTTAATTTTGGTCTGAAAAACGGACAAAAATAGTAATTTAAGAGCACAATTTTGTATTTGTAGTCATAAATTATTCATTTGAGGGAACAAAATAAGTAATCTGAGCGTAGGAATGACTGGATTGAGGAAACAACTCATCATAAACTTCGTCCAGCTATACAGAGAAGTGCTTGGTGACTGGGGAAAAATGGAAGGCTGAGAATTTACAAATGGTCAACACCTGTGTCATCAGCGCTGTAGTAACAATTCAGCCTCTTGCCTCCTGCTTTCTTTCTTCAGTCTGTGTATTATGTGTGTGAACAAAATGTGATATCTGTATATTTCAGTATATCTGTGTCACTTTTTGATGTGCAAATTAGAATATAAACCACTGACCGGCCTCCCTCTCATAGCTGTGTGTGTGTGCAGTGGGTGTTTATTCCTCTGCGTCGTCTCTCAGCAGCTTATGTGCCTGTTTTTCAGAGTAGGAGTAAAATAAACAGATGTTCACTTCATTGTCGGCCTGGCTCATTTGAAATTCACTAGATCGGCTTGAATGGGAAGATGTCACACATGCTTATAATAAATTAGCTTTATCTTCAGAGACTAAGGTTATAATTGTGATCTGATTAGCTGAGAGACCTTCAGCACTCTAAGAAACACTGACTGTTCCTTAAATTAAACTTGTTAGTGATTTAAGTCATTAAAAAGGGTGATAAGGCAGTCTGACCGCAATCAAAAACCAGAATTGGAATTGCATTAACAACCAGTGTCTGTCACATCTTTAGAGAAGCTTAAACTGGTCCAAATGGTAGTCACATTTTGCTAATAAAGAAGAGAGCACCAACACAAAGAGACCTTAGAAATGCAATACAAACACATCCTGAAAAAGTAATGTTTCAATGTGCACTGCATGCTGGCGAATGAAAGCTTTTTTATTTTCTCTTTGGAATGAGGTTACAAACCGAGTCCTTAAAACTGCAGTTAAATTTGTCTGATGCCTTAAAGTCTGCTGATATTTAAAGTTATTCTTATAATCAACCCCAATTAAAAAACAAAACCAACACAGAATGTATCCTATATTAAATATTGTGTATCAAAGCTTGATATATGTTCTTCTTTAGAGCTTCATTGTTGGCCAAAGACTACAAAATGTGAAAACAATATAAAAATGGTCTCAGGGCTGAGAGCCACAGACATGGTAGACAAGACTTTGAGTATTGAGACCCCCAAAGACCCACTCCCACCAGAAAGAGACAAATTCATTTGCACATCCTCTCACAGAATGTGGTTCTAGAGGCTTGCTGTAGTGACTTACTGCAGCTAACAAACTAACTGCTCATATGCCAGTCAGCCACATTAGCTCTCTGAGAAACGTCCTTTTATTCACTATTCACTCAGTTTGTTCACTAATGAGATCATGTGCAGCTGCCCCTGGTGTTACTGACCAGCCTCAACCGGACGTGAAAACGAGCATAGATCTGACTGAGGTCAACAACTTCAAATAATCTGGTTCTGACTAAATAATTAAAAGGTATGTGAACCCATTGCAGTGAGCTTTGAGCAAAAAAAATGCATTGAAGATAAATGATGTGCTCATTAATTTTAAACTTTATACAGATTTATGTTAGACCTACTTTTGCTAATGTGCAGAAACTCATATACTCTTCACTGCTAGAGCCAAGTAGTCTGACATTAAACAGAGATCCTATTCAATGCAAGCTTCTTTAAGTACGTTGAAATTTAACTTAATTTGCTTCTAAAGAAAAGTATAGGTATCACATGGTTGTATCATATGAAAATACCGTAAATACGCTGATGCACTTCTAAACAAGAAACTCATTAACTTTCCAAACTTATTAAGGACTGTTGGTGCTTCACAGCCGTGCAGAGAGCACCTGAAGAATAGCAGCAGCAGCAGCAGCAGCATGTCGTTCCTCAGGCACATGCTTCTAACAGCCCAGTCAGCTCTCTCGAATTCACTTACTCAACTCCTTTCAGTGTTTTTCCCATGACAGTCTTCACCTTTACAAACTTAAATCGACCTTTCAGCCTTTTTTTTCTTGTCAGTGTTGTTGACAGAGAGGGATAACAACATCAGACTAACCTTCGTGTCCCGTCAGTGCGCCGGCGCCATCAGGAGGATAACTAATCATTTAATGCTATTTGAACAACAAATTATATTCTGCATTTTCTAATGGCTCATTTGAGGATAAGAGACTGTGCTCACTTCTTTAGGAGGAGGGTTTTGGTGTTAGTGGCTACTGTGAAGCAGAAAATGTGCTCTCTCTGCATGGGTTCAGTGTGTAAATTAGGAAATAGTTTTGCTGTTGTAAATTAACCTCTGAACCTTGACCTCTGTGCTTTTGGTTAGGGTTAGGAATCAGATTAATGCATATTAATACAGTGTAAATCTATAAATATAAATGTTAATGCAGTAGAGGAGAGGAGCTGTGATTATTGGTTGATTTTCAATGATTGTTCCCTTAAATTAAACAGTAATTATTAAAAATTATATTATTTTCTTATGGCTTGTGTAATAAAACACTAAGAGCTTTTTAACCACCTTACCTTTCTTTTTATAGCTGTATCCTACGATCACAGAAGTCGACGCCAGCCACCATCTTGGATGCTGTCTGAATGACATCAGAAGGATTCGTATAGTGAGTATACAGCCAGTTAATAATAAAACTGGGAAAACATGAAAGATCACCAACTTACCAAAGAGTTTCCATGGCAGCAAATTCCAAAGAAGCTGAAGAAACCACGGCTGTGTTTGTGCTTGCGTGTGTTTAATGAAACAGATTATAGATCATAGTTAAAAAGGGAAGTTATTAATATTTTACCACCCCCCGGCTCAGAATGACTATCATCAAGGGGATCAATGTGGTTGTTTTAGCTCTCCCCTTTTCATTTCTGTTACGTTTCTGCTTGATTTTATCAGTGATAAACATTGAATTTATGTTTATTTCAGTTACAGACCATCAAGTCAGTTTTCTATCTGTATCCTTTCTATCCCTACTAGACTCTTTAATTACAATTTTAACCTTTCCAAACAAACTTCTATTTTGCTTTAGCACATTAGAGATTTGTTGTCATATGTTGTGATCATTTATTCTGTGTTAATGTACATTAATAACACATAGTTGATGTTTTCAGATGACTGTCCCGCTATGTAGGTTAAGGTACCAACAACGGCGGGAATTAATATTAGCCTTAGTTATCTAGTTAGCATGTACATCCTTGATTGAACCACTTTTTAAAGAAGTTCTCTGACAAAAACACGCGTTCAGAGGCACATACAAAATCTAATGAATGTTGCTCTATCAAAATAAAAGCCCCCCTCCCCTCCTGAATAAATAAATCAAAGAGCACAGACAGAAGCAGATATCATTTTCTGTATTCAAATTTTGAACACGTCAGTCTACCCAACATTTAGTGCAAGTTCTGCAAACGTTACATCAACATTCATACAACAGGTCACTGCAAGATTGTCCTGCTGCATATTTAAAATTAAAAAGACATAACTGAAAGACGTCGCATTCGTAACAATAATGATGATCATTAATCAACAAGTGGATATTTGACAGAAGTGCTTGGCAATGGATATTTAAAGCTATATTCCGCTCTGAACGCACCAGTATTATTAGTTCATTGACAGTCAACAACCAGTCAGCGCTGTCTTTACTATGAATTATTGTTTGCAGTAATTATGGGTAAAAATTGTCACCATGCTCCCCGGAAGCTTTACTGTGAACCAGTTAATCACTGTCCCAGCTGCTACAGAACTAATGAATTTACATATGGAATAATGTGAACTGAGGCAGGTTTTTCATGATAAGCTCTCTTTGCACTGTGTTAAGTCACAATATGTGACTTCTGGATTTTTAAATCCTCAAAATAAATTAAATATACAGGCTGCAGTGAAAGTGAAAATCAATGAAAACTAGTCATGAAACAATTAGCCTAGTAATCAAATCCTCAAATTGCATTAAACTTACCCAGCATTAAAAAAATGAAGGTCTTTTTATCAAATTGGCCAGTAAATGGTCAGTCTAATGATCACTGCGACACAGCTGACAAAGAGAAACAACATGGTATTATTTTCAAGCAGCAAGTTGCAAATCGATTCAAAGGCAACGCCGACCTTGTGTCTGAAAGGCTTTCGGTGCTTTGACTGCGTTAGAAATGGATTCAGATATGAATGTCTGCACTTTCAGTTACTTAATGTGAGACTGGCTGACCGCGTCCACATGATGCAAAATAACCTCTATGTTAACTTCAAAGGACCAGTGTGTAGGATTTAGTGGCATCTAGTGGTGAAGTTGCAGACTGCAACCCACTGAATAGCGCCTCCAACTTCCAAGCGTGTGGGAGAAACTATGGTGGCCGTGAGATATGTGAAAAATGTGAAAGCCCTATCTAGAGTCAGTGTTTGGCTGTTCTGCCAACAGATCCTCCTAAATGTTACACACTGGGCCTTTACAGTTCACACCACAACATCCAGCCCGGATCAGAATCTCATTCAGCAAATCCACGACTGCAACAGACGTTATTGCAAAGGAACCTGTGAAGCGACTTGCAAAGCTTAGCTAGTGCTGCAGAGAGCAGCAACACGGAATATAGCAGCAACTTTCGTACATGACTGCTGATGGGTGACGTCACCCAAAGGGAAAGTTTCTACACTGAAAACAAGGAGATGAGCCACTTTCTGAAAACTGTTAAAACTGCCTGCGTTGAAGAAACAAAGCCACATACTTCCATACATTGTGTTTGACAATAAACAAAAGGAGAAACGATCAAAACAAGGTGCAGTATATCAACAAAAAGGTAAACTTGGTACTTGGCAATACATTTACATTTTCACCTGTAGAAGGCTGATAGTGACAGTCACACATTTACACACACACATACATACAGCGTGTGTGTGTGTGTGTGTGTGAGATACCTGTCAGTGAAATCAGGCTACAGACAACATGACATCATTCAACTGCTGCCATACTGGATTCCCTGCGGTGCTGCTCTGCTCCTGAGAATAGAAAAAGCTTCACGGTCATTTAAGGAAGTCAACTGTCCCTTCCACCTGACTGTTTCACTCCTGGGAAGGAGACAGACTGGATGACAACAAGTCACCAATAATTCATTCATTTGTGGAACCCACACTGCAAAATGAAGTTCTGCTTTGCATCATGGCTGCCAGAGTCGACACATTCTTCTTATTCAAGCTGTTTTGCAGTAGTGAGCATCTCAAGTGTGACCTTTGTAATATTTCCCTTCCCGTTACATGCGGTTATGCTGTTCTGTTGTTGAGCCTCAACATGAAACTAAAAATGACTTATCATGACCCTCGACCCCAGTGATTTTATTCTTCTGGTTTCTGATCAAATTTATTGTATTTATATCTCAGAACAGCACTTGTTCTTTGGGCTTTCTGTGGAGAAGCAATAATGTCACGTAAACAAAAAAGTAAACCCGCCGTTTTTGCCTGTCAGGGCCATGTATGAATTTACTGGAGACAGCTGTCATTTCACATCGGCTGTGATGGACAGGTCTCTCTTTTACTGAGACATCATCACGAACCTTTCCTCCAACTGTCTGGATGGATGCATCACTCACACTGACAGACAAAACAAAGTGGTTGACCCAGAAACATTGTCAAATCTCATCTAAAAGATCCACAACTTGGCCAAAAGTATGTATGGACATTTGAACACATTAATGTGCTGCTATAACATCCTCCACTCTTGTGGTTTCAGACTTTCCATCAGGAACCAGGCTTTAGAACCTGGCTGCAGGGATTTGCTCCCATTCAATGAGATGTTGGCTTTCATCCCAAAGGTCTTGGACAGGGTTGGGGTCAGGACTCTGTGCAGCCCAGTCAGGTTCTTCTACACCAAACTTGGAAAACTATTTCTTTATGGAGCCGACTAAGTGCACAGGGGGTGTTGTCAAACCAAGGGGCAACCTCTGTAGGGGCAACTTTTTAGGCGGCTGTTTTCAGGAACCAGGCTTCATTCAGCTCGCTCAGGCCCCACTTCACACTCGTATTTAGGGGGGCGGGAGTCGGGCTTTCCAGGATGGTTGCAGCCAGAGGGGCAACCACCAATGGGCTTTACAACGGCTCTTCAGAAACCAATGCATTTAAATTACATGCAGTTTATGGTTCCAACAGCAAAGGGCCAAAATCCAGTCCAAAGTATGTGGACAGGAGTGTCGTACTTCTAGTTATCTGAGGAAGTAACTTGCTGTAACATTTGCATTTTCTTGGACTTTTGAGGTGCTCAGTGCAGCTAAACAGAACCTGAGAAGAATTCTCGGCTTCAGGCAGCCTTGACATTTTGCAGCTCTTGGCTGGTGTTCATTTCAACCCTGTTACATCTGTCCATCGAGTCCAGGATGCGGTCGTATGGTTACTGTCATCTCATGAGATCCATCAGATTTAACAATGTTGATGATGATTACTCCATCTGGTGGTTGTGAGCGCCATTGATACTCTATCTATCTTATTATGGCAAAAGGAGGTAGAACAGGTCTCTGACGCTGCTCTCATCACTATTACTTTGTCTTTGTTTTTTGTGAAAATTTTGTCCCAAAATCCCTTGACAGTTGATGGGTTTCATTCCATTGAAGTTCCTCTTGATGATTCCTTATCACTCATTTATTCCTTCACCATAATTGTGTGGCAACATTGAAGTTCACGCCCGCAATCTGTCCATTTACAGTACCTCTCTGCCACTCCCTGCCCCCTCCTCTCTACAGCTCCATCTTCACTGGAGCTGGGAGACCTTGAGGGACGAGGTGCTGGCAAAGTCCAAGAAGAAGGGTCCTTCCTGTTTGGGTAAGAAGGTGGTGGGGATGACGTTGTAGATGCCTGCCGGGACGTGGTCCACCTCCATGTAGCAGAAGCCACATCTGGAAAAGAGAGAGAGAGAGAGACGCTCAGGCTCTACAGAAGTTAACACACATCAGTTCAGAACACTCCAATTACTTCTTAAATTTAAAATTACACAGTAGAAGAGTTGACAACATGTAAATAAAGACACGTTATCTCCACGTAGTCGGTTGATGTGACACCTTCATGCTGATTTGTGTTGAACTTTCTGTGGAAGTGGTCACAATGAGAGTTCTTGTCTTCTTGACTCGGTCAGGAACTGTTGCTGATGTGTCTGTAAAGTCCATCAACACACTGTGTGTGCGCAAATCGTTGATGAAGTAACCCTCACGACTAAACACGACTCTAATATTGTCTAAAATATGCCGGTCATCTTTTAATGCACGGCTTTTTAACAGGACGTGACACTTATTTTTGTTTGTTTACTTCCAATATGTACATCAAGTCTCTGTTTGTTTTTATTATTAGTTATATAGTAATAAATATTGTGAGTGCTAATAAACACAATATATGGGATAAAAAAAAAGTTAGGCAATTTCTTCTACAAATGTGCAAAAAAAGAGAACACAATGAACTTAATTAAATAATTCACCTAGTTAAACATTAAATAATATTAAAAATAATGACTTCAGGAATCACCACTGAGCTCAGTTACAGTAATCAATTAATGTTAATTAGTCAGGAATCACCAACCAACAGTCCAGCCAGAATCGATGGATATATGTGGGCTGACATATTGGCGATATTACTGTAATGTCTCTTTAAGAAATCATATTCCAGGACCTTTCCAGAAGTTGTCTCGACAATACCGGACAGCACTAATAAACAGTCGTATAATTTACTGGAAGACTTTGTCTTGAAAGGATTAACCCACTTTTATTCATTACATAATTACTGGGTAAAGTAGAAAGTGTTTGATGCACGTACAATTAACATTGCTGTGCATGTATTTATTAACCACAAAAAGACTTTCGCTGCATTAAGGATGTGGTCACATTATTTAATATTGATCGGAGCAATCACAAACTATTAACAGTGTATGAGAGCGATGTTACAGTTTGTAGTCTAATAATGTGACACTGTACTAAATATAGTTATGAAATATGCTATAATAATAATAATTTCCAAACACATCTGATTGAGCACATTTGCTCCGAACAGGAAACAGGAAACTGAAACAGGAAACGCACACTTGACTTTGTTCGTCATTTCATGCTTCAACAGGAGTGAATGGGAAACGGAGTGAACAAATGCCCGTAGACGGAAGTGTGATGCGACCGTATCGTAACGTGCAACACATTAAGCTGTCTGTCTGAAGAGGTCCTAGACAGTCTTGTGACAATGAGGCCCACCAGTCATACAGATACGTTTGTTAGAGGGAAATCAACTGTAAAGTATGTATCTATGCATAATCTCAAGTTATAATTAACACAGAGTGACAGAATAACTTAACATGCACTTGTATCTGGTGTTCATTTTTGAAAACAATTAAAATAAAAATACACTTTAGATCATTTATCATGATACAGTTACAGTAGTCTTTTCCTTTGTGTGTTTCATAACAATGTAATTTATTAATGTAAGTTATTTGGAAGTATGAATGCCCTCGTTTCTCTACAAGCATTCAAATCTGTCATTATTTGTTACCAATCATTCCTTCATTAATCGGGATGGAAAATTAACTTCACGTCATTGTTCTGTACTGAGTGTGGAGGTCAATGTGTCTCACCACTCCAGCACACATCACTGTTAAAACCTATATGAGAAGTGCTTTCTGCATCGAGGCTACCAGCGTGCTTTTCACTACTGATGCCTGATCTGTGGTCAGTTTTTAACCGTACCTGTAATCTCCACTGGTCTTTTTCTGGAAGGCAGCCGCGCCTGGATCCCCCACCATCGACACCGTCACCATTTCAAAACCAACACTATACTGCCTGCAGACACACAGACAGAAAACCAGAGACAGGGAATAACTACCAGCTTCAACAATGTGTGGACGGTAAAACCTTCAGCAGAACCTTAAACGTAAACAGCCTGTGGTTTTTCTTTTTTACTTTTTATATACCAATAAAATATTTAATCCTGCATTTAACCTCAAACTTTATGTGGGTTAAGCTCCTGTTGTGTTACTGTTTATCTTCCTCACAATACTGGCTACACAATAAGATTTTGATTCCTTTTCTTATGTCGGATTATTGCACCTTGATCCCGCTCAGGATATAACCGAGTGACACGGGGAGCCGTTTATTGTGATCATCGTGTAGTCATGCTTTAGTACAACTCATTAACACCATCAATCACAAGTTCCTGACCTCTTTACTGTCTGTACACTCACAGAACGGTCACACTCATGTATAAGTGACTGTGGAAAATACACATCGAGTTATGCAACTGTTTTACATCAAGATAATAGCAGACAGTGTAAAATTTGTTTATGCTGTCAATTTATTGCTACCATACTACTATTGTATCTTATTTTATAGTTTTATTTCTTTTTACCCTTTTTATTGTTTGTACAGCAGCTGCAAATTTCTACTCTACCAAAATGTTTAACAGGCCAGTTTGAAGGAAAGAATTAAACACACTGCAATCCCTGAGTCATCCTGGTGTGTGTGTGTGTGTATGTGTGTGTGTGTGTGTGTGTGTGTGTGTGTGTGTGTGTGTGCATGACAGTGTGAGAGCGAGAGGGAGAGAGAGAGCTCCAGCAGATCATTAAGTGCTAATACCACAGTGTGGAAAAGTCACTGAGTCATCCTGTTAATGAGTCATTTAATAAGTCTGCCAGATTTATTTAAATTGAGGTGAAATGTATTGACCTCAGCGGTGGCACCATTTCCTTACTTGGTGAATGAACATGACTGCTCAAATATCCATCTAAATGTCATATATATTATATATATTGCTACAATATTGATAGAAATCTTGCCATTCAACAGACGTTAGTTTGTTATGGCTGAAGATTAAAGATTTGTTTGGGCCAAAATTCTTTTTCCCCACCAGAATCGTTTTGTTGACTTTCCATTTCTGAAACCCAGACTAAGAACTGGAACTAAAGCTGACACTGAAACCAGTCGAGGTTTTAGATCACTGAAATATTTCCTGCAATCAGTGGTCTCATTGGAGCTTCTGGAAATATATAACATAAAATTTAGATCAACTACACATGGCCAGCTACTGAAAGAACAACTGTGTTAGTAGAGGCAAAATAAAGTCAAAGGGTCTTCTATTTCCTGTATTTCTATACATTTATATCAACGTGGCAAGTAACAAAAGGTGGTATAACTGCATTATTAATGCTGTGTATATATAACCTGAGACAAAAGCAATCAACCAATCCCTAATTTCTGCTCATAAGGGGTACTGCTGTTAGTGCACGATAATAACTGAAACTGACTCATAATAATGTATCTATCGACATTTGGATCAACTCCTCTCATCTCTCATCTGGATTCTAACAGCTGGACGGTCAGTGGACTGGAGAGATATCGGCCTAATATATCAGGTAATCTGTCCATGGTATCATCAGCCTGACCTGGATCCTCGGAGCTCGACGAGCAGTGGTCCCGACCGCTCCAGGTTGATCTGATAGATGGGGTTGTGTTTGTAAGAATCCTTATAGTTCCCACAACCTCCAGCGCTGGGCCCCTTCCACTGACCGTTGATCTGGAGACAGAAACAGAAACACAATGACTAAAAACACATTGACAGTATATATAAATTCGACAGAGCTTCTGGGTCTGTGAAGTGAAGCCAACAGTGAAGTGTCTTAAACCTGCATTCAACATAATGGCCAGCAGGGGGCAGCTCCATTGGCTTCAATAAAACACAGATACCATTCAGTCTTATGTAGAAATGAGCCGACTTCTCAGTTGATTTATGAGCCTCAGTAAAAAGTTTCTAAATGAAAGTTTCTGGCTCAATCTCTAGTTTCGTCTTTCTTCCAATAACAGCATGAATGTTCATTTAGTAAATTATGATTGGTTCACACTTGGTTTGTATATTTTCTTGTATGTGTGTGGATAACATACCCGTTTGGTTTGAGTGAAAGGATTTGGGATCTTGGAGAAGGTGAATTTGCATCCGGAGTATACCTGCAGAAAGAAACAAAACCTGGTATTTTACACTGAACATGAGCAGGTCTAACAAAAGAAATCTGGCTGGCAGATGAGGTTTAAAATCTAAACAGTAGATAGATGTTGCGTATGATTGCAATGTGTCGGAAAGTGTATAAACCAGAAAGAAACAGAGAAATATAAAACAGCCAGTGTTCTGGGGCAAAAGCTGGTGAAAAAGGAAAACCCTAATATTACTTCTTTGTTATCAGCAATTTTGAGACAAAGTGAAACATGTTTCCAAATGGTGGATATCACACTTTCAAACAAAGCTGTTAATTTATTCATATGACTATCTGCCCACATAATAGAGCTTTCTTATCAGCGCTCTGGTAATCACGTGTCCTGCTTTGATCTCTGGTGAAAACTCTGAACAAGAGAGTTCAATCACTTATTCTCAAGATGGGTTTCAAAGAGAAACGCTGATCTGAGCTGAGGGAAGGGGGGAGGTTGAGAGGGAGAGCTTGCAGTGATTACAGGAGTTCAGATGCTGTTACACACACAGTACATCAGCTAAAATATTAAACATACAGCAGACACGTGTACAGGGTACATGTTTTTTTTTAATGAGCGATTTCAGTATAAACAGTCCTCGCTGCAGTTAGCAAGAGGAACCATGAATTATAAATGACAAAAAAAATATATTTGGGTCACACACACACACACACACAGAAGAGAAGAAGAGAAGTGAATAGATCACAAACTGACATGCAAGAGATTTACTTAAAAATAATAATTTATTATCGTGTTGACACAAATGCACAATGTGCTTTCTGTGATCTCTAACTCTGGAGATTAAAGAAGGTCTCTCTCACCCGCAGCGTGTAGTTGATGGTGTTCTGTTTCTCATACTGGGACACCACCAGTGTGAAGGTGTGCGTGCCTGCGCTGGTCAGCCTCATCTTGGTCAGGTAGTGTGGGCTGTTGATACGGATGCCGTCGATGTAAGGAGGGGGGTCCGCTGCGGAGGGAGCCGGGGGAGTTTATTCACAGTGAAAAACCAGAGCGCAGCTGACAGTTAACCATTAATCAAACTAATAACAGCAGTCATCATCAGACAGAATTATCATACTTTAACTTTTACTTAGTGTTTCTGGAGGGTGACAAAATGTTAAAATTATACATATTATCAGTCATCAAATTCAACTAAAAGCTCCCTGCAC